GTCTTTACCAAATTTACCTGTCATACGGGCAATCGGACTTCGCAACTGTAGTGTCCATCAGATCAGAAAAGAGCCAATAGAATCGCTTGTCCGTTGCTAGCCTTATTTTACGCCACTCTGACCTGGTTACATAGCTACAGCCGGCGTTATAGTCGCCTAAAATCATAACGTCTCTCAATTGCCATCTTTGCACAATGTCGTCATAAACGTCGACCAAATGGTCGATTTCCAACTCTGCAGCCTTTGGTGAAGTATGTATGGCAGCCATAGCAAAGTCTGACACATCTTAATAAAGAAAAAGGCAATTCTTCATCAAAATGATCTCAGCTGTGACACCGTCTGACTTTCCCCCCTTTTACATAACGAACATGCATAACATTGTGTTCTGAAAACGGACCTCCCAAAAATATCGACTGCGCACACTCGGACGAAAGTACGCTGGAGAGTCCGCTGGAAAGAATCAAACCTGTTTTATTCTTCTCACATATAACACTAGTCGCGCGCACCGTTCCTTTATCACTCGCCAATAAGCAAGAGTCCTCGCGTGACAAACGATTCACAAAAATAATGTAACTTACATGCTCCTTTGGCTTGGAAATGGACAACAAAAGGTTCTCTTTGAAATGTGTCTTGGTTGTCGTGATACAAATAGCTGTCCGTAACAGTTACCTTGTCACTCCTGGCAGTCAAAAAGACAACTTGATATTGGTCTTTTATCATATACTTCCATTTTCAAATATCAAACCGTTTTTGAATCAAACAACCTGAGTCCGGTAAGGGGCAGTCAAATCATAAAAAAGTCGCTCAGGCGATCTCGGTCTGAAGGGCTTGGTTCTAGTTTAATACTGAGGGGGCTTCTCTTCTACACTGACAATTGTCATATATTAATAACGCGCTGATAACATATATTTAGATTTAAGATCGGTGATATCGTTTTTGCTGTTGCCTAGTCACGACCACGCCCCTTCCCCTTCTCCTCCCCCCTCTTGCTCAATAAACTTGAAAGGTATCAAAAGAAACATTTTCATGGGGTCTAAACCAAAAGCATTCTGTCTGATTTAAGCACCATCCTTCACAACACCTACTAACTCAAAGGAGAATCAAAGTGTTCCTTACAAATCGGCTTTGAGCTAGTGTTAACATAGAAGACGGATTAGTATAGTTTATGTAACATAGCTCACCTGTATAAGAATGCATACTGCTCCTTGCTGGCTGTGCGACCAAGCCTGACACTCAACGCCATCTTATAGACGCCGGGGGGAGATGAAACCCTGACACAGGGCAAAAGAGAAACAAAGACTCTTAACTAGCTCTTCGCATTTGCTTTATAAAATACGTAACTGATCTGGAATGAATTAAGGATAGTACATATGAAAACTGAGATAAAAGTTACTTTACAAATGCATCTTAAAA